TTTTCAAGCATATTTCAACAGAGGGTAAAGTAACAGAAAATTGATGAGTGATTAAAATACACACACACAGAGCTTGTGGGTGAAGAGAACTGGCACAAGGGAATGGCAGGTATGTTTTATGTGGCAGGAGTGTGGCCATCGTGCATATAATCGGATAGCTTGGCCCTTTAAGGGAGACGGTTCTGGAGCAAACGGACCCTAGGAAGTGGCAGAGGCAGCTGCTGGGAAAGGGGAAATGGTCTCAGGGAGGGGTGGTGTCTTCAGGAAAACAAGGTTACCATTTCTTTGCGGGCCCAGGAGCAGGAGCCTTGTGGAGCAATGAGGGTTGCCAGCTTTCCGGCTGCAGAAAACCGAACACCCTTGCCCTGCCCCCACTCACTCCAGCCCCTTTCCTCTGTCGTGCCCTCACCCTCGCTCACTCACTCATTTTCACCAGGCTGGGGCAGAGGGTTGGGGTGCGGGAGCGGGTGAGGGCTCCGGCTGGGGGGTGCAGGCTCCAGGGTGGGGCCAGAAATTAGGAGTTCAGGATGTGGGAGGGGGCTCCAGGCTGGGGCAGGGGGTTGGGGTGTGGGGGGGTGAGGGCTCCAGTAGGCGGTGTGGGGCCGGGGATAAGGGGTTTGGGGTGCAGGATGAGGCTGTAGGCTGGGGGGTGGAGCCGAGGGGTTTGGAGTGTGGGAGGGGGCTCTGGGCTGGGGCAGGAGGTTGGGGTACAGGAGGGGGCTCTGGGCTGGGGCAGGGGATTGGGGTGCAGGGGGCATGAGGGCTCCAGCTGAGGGTGCGGGCTCTGGTGTGGGACCAGGGATGAGGGGTTTGAGATGCATGGGGGCACTGGCCTGGGGCCGAGGGGTTCGGAGTGTGTGGGGGATGAGGGGTGCCAGCTCTGGGAGGGAGTTTGGGTGCAGAAGGGGGCTCAGGGTTAGGACAAGGGGTTGGGGTGTGGTATGTGGGCTCTGGGAGGGGGATCAGGGCTGGGGTTGGGGTGCAGGGGGGGGAGGGCTCTGGGCAGAGCTTCCCTCAAGTGGCTCCTGGAAGCGGCTGGTATGTCCCTGCAGACCCTAGGTGCAGGGGTGACCAGGGGGCTCTGCGTGCTGCCCTCGCCTGCAGGTGCTGTGCCCACAGCTCTGGTTGGCCATGGTTCCAGGCCAATGAGAGCTGCGGAGCCAGCACTTGGGGCAGGGGAAGCACGCAGAGCCTCATTGCGGGGCCGCAGGGACATACCTGCTGCTTCCGAGAACTGTGTGGAGCCAGGACAGGCGGGGAGCCTGCCTGAGCTCTGTTGAACCACCGACTGGACTTTTAACGTTTTCGACCAGGCGTTCAGGTCGAAAACCGGATGCCTTGCAACCCTAGGTGCAATAAATTACCAAACCAATCAAGGCACACCCTGGGGAGGGAAGAATGGCTCCAAAGGCTTCCTGTTCTCATTGTTGGGTGGGGGAGGGGAAAAGGGTGTCATCTTTGCAGGCTGTGCAGGAGGGATGGAAGCTCCCATCCCCCCACAGGAAACCATAGGAGGAAGGACTTTGGCTATTAAGTTTTTCATGTTTGAGAACTTTATTTTGAAAGACTTTTGCTGTCAAGGAAATAAAGGGAGAGAGTGGCTCAGGGTAGTGAGCCCATCCCAATGCCCAATGTCTGTTGTTAGCAGAGGATGGGGATTTGTGTTCTCCATGCCTTTCTTTGGCTCTTGTTGATGCAGCACACTCCACTCCACTGCCTTCGTAGCATCATGGCAGACAGAACATGTCCCACAGTGTTGCCATTGCTTCCTGATTTGCAAGTGGGAGACAGCCTTTTGTCTAAGTCCTGTTCCTTTTTCGCTAATTCCTCTTACAGAAAATGATTTAAAACCGAAACCTATTCACACATGACAATCACATGGTGGATGAAAAACAAAACTCATTTGCACAGTACATTCTGTTTTGGTTGAATTAATTTTCTCTTTCATTTCTACGCAGCTACCCTGCGCTTTTTATTTATAGTTGAAGCAAAGAAGCAATTTCCCGGAAAAAATAGGCAGGGTTCACATGCCTTCACAAAAATTAATAGAGGGCATAGGTGAAAGATCACATGCTTTCAGCTTAAATAATTTTCCAACGGCATTGCATATTCTTTGGAGTTAGGGAGAGGGTGGGGGAGAAAGGAGCTGGGGAGGTCTAATGAGCAAAAGAGATTAAAATTAAAACTAATTTTCTTTAGGAGTATAAAGTATTTTGAAAAGCTTAAGAAAAAAATAAATATCCAGAATTGAGAGTCATGAGAATATAAGGATTGCCATACTAGGTTCATCTCGCCCAGTATTCTATTTTCCAACAGTGGCCAGTACCAGAAGCTTTGGGGGAGTATACAGAAGAGGGCAGTTGAAGTGATCCACCTCTGTCTTCTCTTCCCATCTTCTGGTAGTCCAGAGGTTTAGAGTCACCCTGAGCATGGAGTTGCATCTCTGACTATCTTGGCAAATAGCCATTGATGGACCTATCCTCTATGAACTTACCTGGTTCTTTTTTTAATCATTTCAACATCCCATGGCAATGAGTTCCACAAGGTTAATTGTGCATTCCAAAGTACTTCCACTTGTTTGTATTAAACCTGCTTCCTATTAATTTCATTGGGTGATCCCTGTTTGTTTGGTTTTTTTGTAGTGTGGGAAAGGCTAAATAACACTTTTTGGTACACCATTCAAGTTGGGTTGCCAACTGTCTAATCGCACAAACCCAAACACCCTTGCCCCGCCCCTTCTCCAAGGCTACACCCATGCCATGCCCCTTTTCTGAGGCCCCGCCCCCGCTCTGTTGCTCACTCTCCCCCACCCTCACTCACTTTCACCGGACTGGGGCGGGGGGTTGGGGTGCAGGATGGGATGTGGGCTCTGGGTTGGAGCGTGGGGCCGAGGGGTTCGAAGTGTGGGAGGGGGCTCCAAGCTGAGCGTGGGGCAAGGAGTTGGGGTGAGAGAGGGGGTTCAGGGTGTGGACTCCAGGAGGGAGTTTGGGTGCAGGAGGGGGCTTGGGGTGCAGGAGGAGGTTCGGGGTCCAGGCTCTGGAAAGGAGTTTGGGTACAGGAGGGGGTTCAGGGCTGGGGCAAGGCATTAGGGTGTGGGAGGGGGTTCGAGGTGGAGGCTCCGGCCAGGTGGCGTTTACCTCAGGTGGCTCCTGGAAGTGGCGGAATATCCAACAGCGGCTCCTAGACTATGGACAACCAGGAGGCTCTGCGCGCTGCCCCTGCCTGCTAGCGCCGCCCCTGCAGCTCCCGTTGGCCGTTCTCCCAGCTCCCATTGCAGTTCTCCATTCCTGGCCAATGGGAGCTGCAGAGTCAGTGCTCGGGGTGGGGCAGTGCGCAGAGACCCACCCCCCCAGCCGTGCCTCCTCCTAGGAGCCGTTGCCGGACATCTGGCCACCCCCGGGAACAGTGTGGAGCCAGGGCGGGTAGGGAGCCTGCCTTAGCCTTGCTGCACCGCCAGACTTTTAGTGGCCTAAAATCTCCTGGTTTGACTTCAGTAGCCTCTGGGAGATCAAACCTGATTCCGGGAGACTCACGGCCAGGGCCGGCTCCAGGGTTTTTGCCGCCCCAAGCGGCGCAAAAAAAACCCAAAAACCATGATCGCGATCTGCGGTGGCAATTCGGCGGGAGGTCTTTCGCTCCGAGCGGGAGTGAGGGACCATCCGCCGAATTGCCGCCTAATAGTTTGACCTGCCGCCCTGCTCTGGAGTGGCTGCCCCAAGCACCTGCTTGGCAAGCTGGTGCCTGGAGCCGGCCCTGCTCACGGCCAAACCAGGAGGCTTGGCAACCCTAATTCAAGTACCTCAGTCAGTTCAAGCACAGTAAATTCAAAAATATAACAAGAAATGAAGAGCAGAAATGGGTGGAGGCTGACACAGATTGGAGAAAGCTATTGTTTTGTATAGCTTTGCTCAGATGACTTGATAACTTGAAGGACTGGTAATTGGTTGCAGAGTATTGCTCCGATCCTGCAACTGTCTGCATCTGGGAAGATCCCTGTGTCCAGTGGAGCCCTGCCCAAGTCAGTAGGGTCCTTCATGGGCACAGGGGCCTACGTAAGTAGTGCAAGATGCTGGATTGGGCTTTAATTCACTACAAGGTTAAATACATCTCAGAAGAATATTGTGCAAAAATTATTACAATCAAATAGCTTTTCAGTGGCTAATGTGGGATAATAACACATAGCCCTATAGCGCTTTTCATCCCTACTCTCACTGCACTTTGCAAAGGAGGCAAGTATTATTAGCCACATTTCACAAATGGAGAAACTGAGGTACAGAAGGGTGAAATTACTTGTCTGAGGTCACCCAGTTAAAAAATTCCCATTGGTGCAGAAGGAGAGACATACATGGAGACTGACTGAGAATGAGGCAGAGAATCTCAGCCTGGCTCCTGTTGGACAGCTCTTCATGTCGCAACAAAAGTACCATCAGAGAGGGTTGCTCAGATCATTGGCAGTGCATCATAACAGGGTGGTTATTGTTACTAGGACTGTTATGATTTATGCATATGGGAAAGAAACACTCTGTTTTATTGACAATGCCTGCAGTACAATGAGTTAGTATGGACAGTGCTTAAAGTAAATAGGAAGAGAAAGGGGAGCTTTCCCTCCACCAGTCGAGGAGGAGGGGGATCTATGGACTTGTTGCTTTTAGCTGAGGAAGGGAGCTGTGCTTCTCTGTCTTTCCTTCCCTCCCTTCCTGGAAAAAGGAGGTACGAAGTCAGTGGCCGCTGCACCCTCTAGACTAGAACTGACTTTGGCTCCATATTATTGTGGTTATTACTGATTTATGTTACAGTCATGCCAAGTTGCCCCAGTCAGGGATGTGGGCACCATTGTGCTAGGTGTCGTACAAGCATGAAGTCAAGAGACAGTCTCTGCCCTAAAGAGTTTACAAAGGCAGTTAGTGACAAGACAGAACAGCAGGATGAAACAAACAAGTGGATAGGGGTGGGAGAGCAGGAATAGGCGCTAACAACACCACGAACATCTTATCATGCAGGCTAGCTGTGTCCACAGGGTAGCTTGCCCTGCCTAGCCGTTACCACCTGACTGTGTTCTGAAGACATCACAACCGAAGCGAGTATTAAGGAAGATAAGGTAAGTGGGCTTACCAATTTTGGGGAGAGTTCGTGCCATCCGTAAGAGCTGGCATGAAGTGATTGTGGGAGAAGTGGACTATCAGGGAGAGTGACACAATGTAAAGGTGGTGTGCAGTAAAGGTGAATCAGACCCAATGGCTCTGACTTGGTCTCACTGAAATAGGAAGATGCAGAAAATTAAGGCAGCTACCTTTGTATTCTCCCCGTGGAATTTTCTGGCCTCTCTGGGCTTGAGTCAGATCCATCACTCTTAGGGTACGTCTACACTACCTGCCGGATTGGTGGGTAGCGATCGATCTATCGGGGAGCGATTTATCGCGTGTAGTGTGGATGCGATAAATCAATCCCCGACTGCTCTGCAAGAGGCGGAAGCAAAGTCGACGGGGGAGCCGCGGCCGTCGATCCAGCGCCGCAAGGATGCGAAGTAAGTAATTTTAATTCGATCTAAGATACGTCGACTTCAGCTACGCTATTCTAGTAGCTGAAGTTGCATATCTTAGATTGATTCCCACTCCCCCCCATTGTAGACCAGGCCTTAGTTTTGTATTTAATACCCTTTAAAATGGCTGCACAAAGAAACCTAACATAGATTATTATTAAATGTTTATATTTATAACAGATATGCTTATTGTGGTGGTGTGGAGGAGGAGGACAGGAGCAAAATCACTGTAGCAGAAATGGCTTACACAGGACATTAAATGAAGAAGCCACAGTAGGGTGACCAGACAGTCCCGATTTTAGGGGACTTGTCCTGCGTCCCGACCTTACATCGGTCGGGACGCTCTTTGTCCCAATATCAGGGACCATCCAGACCACAGCCGCAGCACCGCCGCTCACCGCTACCTGGGGCAGCTCCCAGTGCCCGCCCGCCGGCAGGAGCGCCACATGCTGCAGGGGTGGGGCTTACAGGCGCTGGGAGTGGGCAGAGAGCCCTCCACCCCGCCCACCCCACCCAACCCGACCCGCAACCATAGGAGTCAGAGGCAGCCTGCCGGATGTTTCCTGGGACAGAAGCTGCCCCAGGTGAGCACCGCCAGGACACCCCACCTTACCCCCTGGCAGGTCCCTCCGGCTCTTAAGGTGGGGGGGCTCTGTGTGCTGCCGGCGCCTGCAAGCCCCACTCCACAGCTCTGGCAGCTCGTGTTGGTGCTTTTCCAGCCAATGGGAGCCATGGAGCTCACGCTTGTGACGGGCGCAGCCCGTGGAGAGTCTGGAGACTCCCCTCGCCGCTCTCACCCTAGGAGCCAGAGACCTCCCAGCAGGGCTGGTGAGTGCAGCCAGGGAAGGGGGCAGGGTGTGATGGAGTGAGTGTCTGGGAGGTGTGTATGGGGCGCTGTGCTGTGAGGGTGTGGAGGGTGCTGGGCAGTGGGGGAGGTTTGTGTGTTTTGGGGTGTGACACAGTGGGGGCCTGTTGGGGGTTGCTGGGCACTGGGGGAAATCTGTGTGTGTCAAGGCACTGGGCAGTGTGGGGCATTGTGTAGTTGTAGTGGCGGGGCTGTGGGGAAGGGCCCTGGGAGGGAGGAAGGAAAGGAATGAGGGGAAATCTGTGTGTATTGGGAAACTAGAGAGTGGGGGGTTCTGTGTGGGGTGCTGGGCAGCTGTGGTGAGGCTGTGGGCAGGGGGGTGCTGGGCAGGGTGTGTGTGCACAGCACTGTGCATTTGTGGTGGAAGGGTTGTAGGGGGGCTCTGGGCATAGTGGATCCAGGGGGCGCTGGACAGGGGAGGTGTGTGGCACAGCATGGACCCACCTCCAACAGGAAGGGGCATGCTGGTAGCACAGGGCCAGGTGGACCAGTGTGCCTCTGGCTCTGGTCGGGGCTGTGCTCCTGTGTCTGTCTGTCTTTTTCCCCCCTTTCCTTCCCCCTCCCCTCCCCGCTCGCCCAATGTGTCCTGATATTTCACTTTTGCGATCTGGTCACCCTAAGCCACAGGCACAAAAAAATGAACTAAAATAGCAGCCTTGGTTTTGTAGGGCCCCAAATAGAGGCAGAGGTCAGCATTAGGCACTGCTTGATAGCCACCAGCCAGGGCCACTCTGACCACCACCTCAAGGTAGATAGAGATGGGAGGATATGTGTGTGTGTGTATGTGATGGGACTCTGCCAAAGGAAATCCAGGAGATTGATTTTGAAGACAAATTATAGACATTTAGGCCTCTATGTGCTGGTCTGGGATCTGCAGATGAATATCAGCCTCTGTACCCATGCTATGTTTAATATAGGCCAGCGGGGGACTACTCTTATAAGGACAGCATTAGTCTCTCCCCAAAGCTTGTAATCCTTTGCCTAATGTTCTCTGAAGGAAAAGTATATATTGAAAAGATAGACCATACTAGGAAACCTAGTCAATGACATCTGAACTTGGGGAAATCCATCGTTTTACTGGAGTAATTAATTTCTTAATCTCAACCTTTGTTATTAAGGTGTATATGTGCATGATAATGTTGGGAGGAGGAAAACAGCAAGGTTATCATAAAAGCCAGGGACTGATGACACTGGCTTGAGTTGAGCCAACCATTGTGTGACCAGATATTGTGGACACTTTTCCCCCGTACAACTATGACAGTGGAATACTTCAACACTGCTGCTGTTGCAGATCCTGCGCCCCACCCACCTTTGACCCAAAAAAGGCCTGATTCTCCAGTGTGGTGTGTTCATAGCTCCCTGAAAATGAGCCCTCTTTGAGATATCTTAAATTAGAGACTCAGAAACTGAGACACCTAAAATATCTAGTCATTTTTGGAAATTTGGACCTGCATCTATTTAGACTAGTGGTGAGCAACCTGCGGCCCACGGGCTGAATGCGGCCGTCAGGGTAATCCACTGGTGGGCCGCGAGACAGTGTTTACATTAACCGTTCACAGGCATGGCTGCCGGGAGCTCCTAGTGGCTGCAGTTCGCCGTTCCCGGCCATTGGGAGCTGTGGGAAGTGGTGCAGGCTACAGGAATGAGTATTTTGTTAAATAAAATTTTCAGTACCTGGTTTCAATAGCTATTTTTGATTTTTAAAAAATCAAATGAATGATTTCATGAACATTTTTGAAAAATAAACAAAAATGCATCTATTTTGAACTCACAAAATGGAACAACTTTGAAAGCGAAAAACTTTTCATGATTTTTTCCCTGGTGTGACCAACTCTAGTTCAGGGTCACTTTGAGAATCATCTGCCCCACTAGAAAGTTAATATTTATTTCCAACAACATAGACAGACAACATAATATCGTTAGAGCTGATGATGCCTTCCAGGGAATGGGAAAGAGGAAAAATGGTGACATTGATATGAGTGAATGGAAAACCTGAGTAGGCAGGAGAATGCCACAAATGGATGGGGCTCCATCTCCTCGTGCTTGTGATCTACTGGGGCAGGAGAAAGCAGGTCCTCTTGATAAATTGCAGTTCATGTTCTGTCTTAGCTGGCCTGTGTGTTGGTTGATATGTGTGCATCAGGGGAGTCAGGACTCCATGTGTATCATGGGGGATGTAGTCCAGCCATTGAATCCACATGCAGTTTTGTCCACTGTGTCTTGCAATGCATGTGGGAGATGCAGTCCTCCAGGGAGCCCACAGAAACAATCGAGGCCCAAACTAGAACTCTCATAAAGCAATGCACCCATGGTAAGGAAATGCAGTTTCAAGTTTTTGTTGAACTAGTTCAAAACAAAATATTCCAACCTTATTGAAATGAAGTGTTTTGAAAATTTCTCCATTGAAAACATTGTCGAAATCAATGCATTCCCTCAAAACATTTCAATTTTGATGAAACAGCATTTTCTGATGGAAAATTGTTCTGTTGAAAATTGTTGAACTAGCTATAGTTTTGAGTTTTATGTCAGCCCAAAGTATGATGTACATTGAATGGTAGAATGCCTGCAATCATGGACCCCTATTATCAACCCAAACTATGAATTATGCCCAAGGAACTGGAAGTGTTAATGTCTGCTGCATATCTACATGCTTTAGCTTGATTCTGAAGGCAAACATGCAATCAACTATGCTAATATCACAGGCAAGGAGAACTGTGATCCACAACTAAACTAATTACTCTGGTTTATTTACTTGAACAAAGCCAGATTGGGCATGTTAATTGGATATTATTTAAGGAAATTTGATCCTTTTTTCTTTTCTTTTCATATTAATCACTTTTTTCCTAGGTTCTCCTTGTCATGTAGTTCTCAGTTCCCTTGTTCATTTTATATCAATATTGTTCAGCCTGCTGGCCTCAGGTCTCTAAATTGTGGCCCTCCAAGGTGATTGCATTAAGAAGCAAATGTGTATTTGATTGCAAATTGAAAATGTGTTCCCTAAACTGCAACCTTGGATTTGAAAATGGAAGTGTTTGAATCAGCATTGTCACCAGGGGGCACTGCCTCTCACCATTCCCCAGCAGACCCAGAAGCTGTTCTAGTCTGAGCTCTGGGCAGCTGCTGTCAGCTGCTCAGCAGCTCCCCTGGTGATTGCCTGCTGCATCATAGGAGAGTAGCTCTAGCTGCTCCATTGCCTCTTATCTGCAAGGCTGTGGGAGCCCAAGAAAGAGTAGGACAGGAGCTCAGCCGGCTCTGTCAGAGCCTAGGGGACTAGTGCCTAGCAAAGAATGGTTCACCTTCCCTGCACACATCCACCCAGAACAGCCCAGGAGAGGTGTGTGGGGGGAGGGGAAATAAGAGAAATTGAAAATAACCACTGTTTAAAGCTCCCTGAATCTCTACTTTAGTGCAGGTTAGAGCAACCTGAGGGAGCTCTGACTTGCGCCAGCTGGCAGTGGTCCTTGAAGGACTATAGACTGGGTGGGGAAAGCTGTAACATAGCACTCTCTAGCCATTCCCCTTCCCTGCTCTTGACATGTCCCTGCATCAAGGCTAGTGGGATGGAGGTGTAGGTACTGACTATAATGACTTTATGCATGCTAGGGACCAGGGCCAGCCCTAGACCAAATGGTGCCCCAGGTGAGGAGCGTCTTTGGTGCTCCCACTTCATTTGTTAAACTTTTGAATACCTTAC